CCCCCAGGTCCTTCTCCTCAGGGCTGCTCTCAATCTCTTCATCCCCTGGCCTGTACTGATAGTGGGAGTTGCCCCGACCCATGTGCAGGTCTTTGTACTTGACCTTCTTGAACCTCATGAGATTCACAGGGGCCCACCTCTCCAGCTTATCCAGGTCCCTCTGGATGGCATCCCATTCTTCTGGTGTGTCAACTGCACCACTCAGCTTGGTGTCATCTGCAAACTTGCTGAGGGTGCACTCAATCTCGCTGTCTATGTCACTGATGAAGATGTTAAACAGTACTGATCCCCGTACAGACCCCTGAGGGACACCACTTGTTACCAGTCTCCATCTGGACATTGAGCTGTTGACCACTACCCTCTGATGTGACCATCCAACCAATTGCTCATCCACCGAACAGTCCACCCATCAAATCTGCATCTCACCAATTTAGAGAGAAGGATGTTATGGGGAACCATGACGAAGGCCTTACAGAATTCCAGATAGACAACATCCATAGCTCTTCCCTTGTCCGCTGATACAGTCGCTCCATCACAGAGAGCCACTAGATTGGTCAGGCAGGACTTGCCCTTGGTGAAGCCATGCTGGCTGTCTTGCATCATGTCAGGGTTTACATGTGCCTTAGTATAGCTTCTAGGAGGATCTGTTCCATGATCTTCCCAGGCACAGAGGTGAAGCTGACAGGTTGGTAGTTCCCAGGGTCCTCCTTTCTGCACTTTTTAAAAATGTGCACAATGATTCTCTTCTTCCAGTCACCAGGGACTTCACCTGACTGCTATGCCTTTTGAAATATAGAGAGTGGCTTGGCAACTACATCAGACAGTTCCCTCAGGACTCTGGGGTGCATCTCATCAGGTCCCATGGATTTGTATATGTTCAGTTTCCTCAGGTGGTCACGAAACTGATCTTCTCTTACATTGGGAGGGACTATACCACCCTGATCCTCATCTTGTGGTCCAGCTACTCAGGAGGTGAGGAGAGAGGTTGCCAGTGAAGACTGAGGCAAAAAAGTTGTTGAGTACCTCAGCCTTTTTCTCATCCATTCTTACCAGTTTGCCAGTCTTGTTCATCAAGGGGCAGTATGCTTTCTTTGACCTTCATTTTCTGCCTGACATACCTGTAGAAGCCCTTATTATTGTTCTTTACATCCCTTGCCAAGTTCAGCTCCAGCTGTGCCTTGACCTTCCTGACTCCATCCCTACATAAACAGGGTGGTGTCCCTATGCTCTTCCCAGGATACTTGTCCCTGCTTCCACTGCCCATGAAGTTTCTTCTTGCTCTTTAGTTTGACCAGCAGGTCTCAAGTCAGCCATGCTGGTCTCTTGCCTTCCTTGCCTGATTTCTTACACCTGGGGTCTGAGAGCTCCTGCACTCTGTGGAAAGCGTCCTTAAAGAACTGCCAGCTCTCTTCTCCTCCCCTGCCCCTGAAGACCGTTTCCCAGGAGGTCCTACTGACTAACTAACTCCTTGAAGAGCTCAAAGCTGGTTTTCCTAAAATTTAGACTATACTCCTCGCCTTTTCTATACCCTTCAGGACTATGAACTCCACCAATGCATGATCACTGCAGCCCAGTCTACCTCCAGTCTTGACGTCACTGATGAGCTCACTTGCATTGGTGAGCATCAGGTCCAGTATTGCATCCCCTCAGGTAGGGGTGTTGCTTAGCTGGCTGAAAAAGTCATCCTCAATGCATTCTAGGAATCTCCTGGATTGCCTACAGCGCGCTGTGCTACTTTTCCAGCAGATGTCAGGGTGGTTGGCAGTCCCCCAGCTGGACGAGAGACTGTGAGCGTGAAGCATTCTGGAGCTGGAGGAAGAAGGCTTCGTCAGTAGGCTCCCCTTGATCAGGTGGCCTATAGTAGACACCAGCCACAAGGTTACCTTTGTTGCCTCTGTCTCTGATTCTTACCCATAGGCTTTCGACCTGCTTGTGGCTATTCTTCACGGACAGCTCTTCACACTGTACTGATTTCTTGATGTAGAGGGCAACGCCTCCACCCCTCTTTCCTCACCTGTCCCTTCTGAACAGCCCATAGCCATCGATAGCCACATTCCAGTCATGGGGATTCATCCCACCAAGTTTCAGTAAGGGAAATCAGGTCATAGCTTTCCAGCAGCACAGTGGCTTCTGTAGGAGCCAAGGGGAGAGAGTGTCACTATACTTCCCTTCTTTCTTCCCCTAAAATCTGGTGCTGACTGCTGGCACAGTCCTGCACTGGAGGGATGTTTGCTTTGACTCAGGGTGAGTTTGCTCTGCCCTTATATTGTTTTCACCACTGCAAGCTTCTGTATTTATTGTAATTTAGGACAAAAACTATTTTCATATAAAGTACCAGTAATTATGACAGATGTACTTTGAAGCATATGGACCCTTGTTTTATAGCGTTTGGATGGTGAGAAATCACCTTGAAATATGTTGAACAGCTGGTGAAAGATTGTTCTAGGGGTGTAGCACTGAAAGACTCCAGGGAGACCTGACTGCAGTCTTTCAATGCTTAAAGAGGCCTGTAAGAAAGATGGAGAGAGACTTTTTACCATGGACTGTCATGACAGGACAGGGGCAATGGTTTTAAACTGAAAGAGGGCAGATTTAGATTACTTATTAGCAAGAAATTTTTTACAATGAGTGTGGTGAGGCACTGACACAGGTCACCCAGAGAAGTTGTGGATGGCCCCTCCTTGGTAGTGTTCAAGGTCAGGCTGGACGGGGCTTTGAGCAACCTGGTCTAGTGGAAGATGTCCCTGCTCATGGCACGGGGGTTGGAACCAGATGACCTTTAAGGTCCCTTCCAACCCTGACCATTCTATGATTCTATGAAATATCATCTCCAGTGCCATCTACTCATCAGTATGAGAAGAGCTGTAGGAGAAGCAGATTTGAACCGTCTCCACCAGACGGGAGGGAAGCAGGCTCATGTTACTGCTGGGCTGCAGTCCGGCCCTTGGTGAGTGTTTGTGCCTCGCTGCCATCTAATGTGAGCCACTCCACCTCTGGAACAGCACCTTTCCTGCACAGTACAGATTGCTCAGTTTAAAGACTGTTTCAACATACATGGAATTTAATGTCAAGAAAAAGGAAGAAAAGATTTTTTATAAGCTGCCTGCCTTAGGTGAATGTGGCTGCATAGTGATCTTGGAGCCTGACAGGTTTGTCTTTGATTAAAAACAATCATGTGCAATAATTTGCATGACAATCTGTGATTTCAGGATAGTGTGATGTTGCCCCATGCAGATGTTCTGTTTCCTTGAGTTATGCGTTTTTAAATGGAATATGTCACCCACAGATTTTAAAATTATCTGACAAATTTATCTTGACAGCACTAAAGTTTTGCTCAGTGTGAGGTTTTATTAATACACTGCAATTTCGTAATGATACTTGATGCCTTTTTAATTGAAAAGGCCATAATGTTTCAATACCAACGTCTCGACTAGTGCTAGAAGACCTGAGCTTTTGGAATTTATTTCTGTTCATCTCAAATAAGTGAAACCTACAGGCAGAGCACCTGAATAACCAAATGTTAAAAGACCCTATTTCTTCAAAGCTTGCCTTTTGATCCTCACATTGCCGCTGAGGCTCTGTATGCATCATTCATTGCAGGGAGAGTGTTTTCCTTTCTCAGCTGGATTTCATGCTGTTATTCTTTTAATTGTAAAGTGTCTCTTTTTCCGAGGCAAAATGACAGACAGACACAGACAGGCTGCACATACAGAGCTACTGCTAGCATCTTCTATACTTATGTTTCTAGAAGGAAACGAAAGCTTGCACCTTGTTTTCTTTTTCCTTGAAAGTTTTATTAATTTTCTGTGGAAACCAATAGCTCAACAGCTTAACCAAAAACTGGTTTATCATTGTAACCTGAAGTGGTATGTGTAGAACTATCTGCCCAAACTGGTACAGGCACTGAGGAAAATATAAGGTTGGATAAATATCATTAATTCTACCGCTTTTCATTTTCAGCGTCTTTAATACACGCCCTTTCCTTTCCAGCACTACTCCAGGATTGTTTCCCATTCTTATTTCTCCTGTAACATTCATTTGATGTAGCTAAAACTTTGCTGAAGTCCCTGCTGTGCACCAAGCCCTGACCAACCTCGACGTCTGTTATGAATTGCTGTAGAATTGCGCAGTCCGAGAGCAGGAGCCAACCTGCAGAGCTGCCGTTCGGCAAATTCCTGCCAAAGCCTCAGATCAATCAATCTTTTTGGGGCAAAAATTTTTGCTGAAATGAGAGTCAAATTTAAACTCAGATCTGATTCAAGCAAAGCTATGCTGCTTGACTTTCGCCATCAATAACGATGAGGCATTCTCTACATCATGCATGTTTATGTGGTGGTGGGGCTATCAAGCAAGAGTGGGATTATCTAAGTATTATTTCATGATATATGCTTGTTAATAGCAGAAGTAAACAAATGCTAATTGACTGAGTGTCTTTCAGCCATATGTTGATGATTTAAATGCATCCCAGGCTGATAGTGACTGTTCCTTTTTCCTGCACTGTTACTGACGTCTGTCAGTGTAGGAGGAGAAACGGGCAGGCAGTTTTAACTTAGTCCTTTTTTTAATGGGTATATCATCAGCAAGATCACTAGCATGGCTGTTGCAAGGGCCATATGTGACCTCAGTGTTTCAGAAGTCCTTCTTTCAGGCTGCAGATTAGCGTTGGGTGAGGACAAAAAAAGGCTGGGTTGCTTTACCACTGACCAAGTGGTAGCCTTTCACTTGTGTTGTTTAATGCTGTTCTGAAAGATGTCACTCGTTTCAACATTTCTGAATTCTGCTGTATTTTTAAAATAAGTCAGTGTGTTATGAACTCTTTAGGTACAATGTTAGAAATGTTAGAGATAGTACAATACCACGTAGCACAATGGAAGACAAATGACGTATTCCTGTGGTGCAAACCACCGGCTGCCAGTGTGTCAGGGCCAGTCCTTGTCCTTACACTCCGTATTCGTTAGTGCCTCAAGGGATACTTATTCACCTTTTCTGTTCTGTTCCAGTCATTCACCATTTTTCAACGGAAAAGAGGCGCATGTGAGCAATAAAAGAGATGGCTCGCGTCTTGAGAGTAGGAGGCCAGTTAATGATATATGTGTGGGCAATGGAGCAAAAACGGAGAAGATTTGAAAAGCAAGACGTCTTTGTTCCTTGGAATCCTTCACCTCCTTCCTGCTCCTCAGGTGAGCCTTGCTCATGTGGAGTACAAAAATCAATTCTTCACAAGGACAAAGAGCTGGCTTTGAACCAGCCCCATCATAAGTTGTACAGGACTTCAGAGGTACACAGGACAGCAAGGAGCTCATTCTGTGGAGGAGGCAAAAAAGCACCCCGCACGGTGTTAGAGAAATCTCTGAGATGGTCTCTGTTCTCAAGATCACTTGCCTTGGTATAGGATGTGGGTGATCAGTGGCACCAGGAAGGGCTCGTTAGATACTGCAGCTACGGTGTTCAGTTGAATGAATTAAACAGAGGAAAAAAAACGTTTAAAAAAAACAGCAAGTGTGGCTTTCTGAAAAACGCTTCTGGCATTTTTTCTACATCGCAAACCTAATTTTGAAAATACAACAGCTTCTGAAGTGGCTGTGAAACCTATGCTGCCCATGTCCCGCTGCTCGAAGGCTTTCAGAAGTTGCTATTCAGAATTAGGGCAAGCAACTATACAGCTCCCTATGGCTGCAGATACTCTTCACAATTGCAGTGGGGTGTGTTTACCTGACCTGATTTCACATCAGAAAGAATTAGCTGTCAGACAACAACTTAAAATAGACCATCACCCAAAAGAAGGAGCTTTCTGCCAACCTTGGAACAAAAGCAGAGCAGGCTCCTCTCTGCAGAAAGCAGTCAGTAAGTGCACCCTGACCACGCAGACCTGGCAGCAGACAGGTTCTGGTGGGGCATGGTTGAGGTACTACCACGTTTTTAAAGAAGCGGAGTTGGCTGAGCTGATAGAGTGTCATAATCCTGAGCTACACATTACTCATTCATACTTTGACCATGCCATTCGGTGCGTGATAGCAGAAAAGACTGGAGTGTGGAAGATCTAGCAGAAATTTCCTCATTGAAATGCACAAAGAATACTGAGGGGGCTTTCTTCATTTTGAAAGCTCAGTGCTTTGAAAATCTTTCCTGAAGCTTTTTATAGCCTTGAGTTTCTTATGGGGGAGAGGGGGAGGTATGAGGACGAAACTGCTTTGAAACTCTCAAGTTCTGTGACTTTGTTTTCTTTAATTTTGTTCTTAAAATACATCTCTATTGAATTTTTTTTTCTGAAGTTATTATTTCAGACTGAGCACATTTTAGCACACTGATGCCTTTTCATAAACAGCTGCCAGCTGTGTTTTGTTGCTTGGAAATAGGTAAAATACAATTGGAAGGTGATTGCTGGATTATTTTTTATGTGTACATTAAAAGTCTTTGTTATTCATTTATTACTATATAATCATTCATGTCAACTTTTTATTTTAAAATTTATTGTACTCTGCCAATTGATGTAACATAACACAGGAAGTAATTGAAAGATGCACTGTTTTATTACAGTTCACTTTGTCAGCCTATATGATACTTCCAGTCATACGAGACAGTCTTTTATGAGAATTACTAGGTGTATACAGCCCTCATGGCAGAGGCAGTAACTCATGACACTGTCATAGTCTGGAGATCTTTTTCATTGCCTTGTAGCAGTCACAACCAGAAATCTGCCTCCATATATGCCACTACACGACCCCCAAAAAAAATATTATGTGAGCTTGGCATGTATGCTTATGGTTACAGCATCTATCAGTATGACAAATCAGCTTAAAGATTGCTCTTTCTCCCTGTCAGCAAAATAAGGAGGAGTCTGAGGGATTTAATAACACATTTAAATCTGAATGAGCATAGGACAGAAAAGTGTTCCAGTGACTGCTAGTCAACTGAGAAAATGTTTATTAACATCAGCATGCAATTCTAATGCTTTTATCTACAGATTTTCCTTTTGCAATGAAGATCAGGTTCATTACCCAATTTTTAGAGATAAAGAAACTGAGGTAAATAACTTTGCTTAAGGTTGCAATGTAGATTAAATATTTTAAAGAATAACAAACAAAAATGCCAAGCAACACGGCTGCATTGCTGATGATTATTTATGTGCTAGGGAGGTCTGTCCGTAATTTTACTTCCTGCCTTTGTTTCTGTGGATTTGTGAATCTGCAACTCAGAGATCAAACCTGATTTCTGAGAAATAAGCCCCTGCATGTTCTTTACGTGTCTGTCAGCAGCAGATGTATATCATGTTTTCCACTGTAGCATGGAACAGTACAGTAATCTGAGTTCTTTAATGCAGCTTTAATTCAATTTGGATATAATATCTGTAATCACATTTCCTTTACTTCCTCCTATGGAGCTCACGTCGGCGGTATCATAGTACATCTTGTATTTTCAGGTGGAAAAGCTAGAGGGGCTAATCAGTCTCCTCCATCTGTAATGACTGCCTCTGCAGTGCTCTTTTTTTTCCCGTAAATGTTGGTATCATGCAAGTGAAGAAAATAATTTTCAGTTACAAAATTTTGCTGCTGTTCAGCTCTGGCAACACCGTTTCTTTCCTTTTTTACACTTTCTTCAATTGCCAGAAGGGCTTGACAGCATCTCCCTATTTTTCAGTACAGCTTCAGGTTGCACTGAAGAGCAGCAGCAGCAGCACATTGCAGCTCTGAGCCTCTCCCTTGCACCTACTCCTACAGTTCCACACGCTGTTAACCCACACAATGCACCAGCAAAATGCTTTTGATCATAGCTGCCAGTCCTTGCCCTCTAGCACACCTGATGTTTAGTTTTCCTGGGAAAGAACATGGGTTTTTTAACCGAACCTGACTGGTCCTCTTAGAAAGGTTTAGCCTGCTCCAGAATTCCCTGAATGAAAGGTGCTCATCATCTTCAGTTCTTCCCTAGGGTGCAAGGAGTGACCACTAGATTTCTCCTCATGTTGACACCCCTGATCTTCCTGCTCTGGGTCAGGTGTTCCCAAACATGATCCATGTCACAGGGACAGTATTAGCCTAACTGGAGGGAATTTTAATATCTGGACAACTATTAGGGGCTCTAAAGGCAACCCCCCCATTCAACAAGGAGTTAATGTCCTTGTTTTGGATGAAACAAGCTGTTAAGGCCCACATCTTATGTAGCAAAGCGCTGCTAAGTCATGAATTAGACCTGCTTCCACACAGGATGGCTTCCACTCATGACAGTTGCCTCTGGAAGGTGCTGAGTGCTTCCCAGTATCAGAGTAAATTCATTCTCTTGCAGACGAAGCTGCCTTAGGACAGGGCCCTGACTATGCAGGGAAAGGAAGTAAAAACATGGATTTGGTTGGAAGGAGCATGTGTTAATACTTCCCCATATTTATGCATGTCACAAACGTTATAAAGCCATAAGCTCTATTTGAAATTCTTGTTTTGATCAGGATGCCAGTAGCAAAACCAGGACTGTGTTCGTTCCTTCATTTCTACCTCACAGTCTGCATTTGTAGTCCTCAGAGCAGGCACTGCCCTGCGCCAAGGGATATAGCAGGGAAATGCTCTGCAGTCTTGAGCCATGTTTGGTCCTAATTTGTTTTCCTCTTTTGCTCTCTGCTTTTCTGAGCTGGATTTTAGAATAGAAAGGTACCATTTTTATGGCCCCATTTAGGCATCTAGACTGTAGATCTGTATATAAGTCCACCTTTGTGCTCTGTATTGCCTGCGGAGTTAATGGCACGAAACAGCCACTTTAGAGGATGAACTATGAAATACACCTTGAGGAGCTGTTGGGATTAGAGAGCTCATGTTCAGTACCTGCTCATCTCTTTCCATTGCTTGTGGAAGTTGCTTAGAGGGAAGCTCAGCTTTAAACATTGATTCTTGGCTGCTTCAGTTAGGAGAGATGGATTCTACCTAGGAATTTTTCAAGTTCTGAGGATGGAAAAAAGGAGCACAAACAACAGTGAAATCAGACCGATTTGCCCCCCACTCTGACTTTTGGCCAAGCAGCACTGCCTACTTATCCCTATTTCGTACGAATCATGCAGAAAAATTCATTCTTAAGCTGGGGATAAAAAAAAAAACAAAAAAGCAGCAGCCTAGTGCAGCTTTTCTTTACAGCACCTGCCACTCTGAATTTATGGTCATTCAAGGCCTTGCCTGTTCAAGGGACACTTTCAAAAAAGCTTCCAATGTCTGGCAATATTTCTGATCTACCAGTGGTGATCACCTTTACAGACGCTAATCTTAATAAAGCCAATGTCTTCTCCCTTTTTCTGCTTTTCAGGTCCCTAAAAATTCCCCAGTGTCAGAGTTTTCTCAGTTGTCTCCACAGAAGGTTGCTGTGCTGTTCCTGATTTGTGGACTCCTGGGAAATCATCCGCAGCCAGTGCAGGATCCACGAGCACAACTTGGGGCCCTCTGCTCTGCGCTTGCCATGTGAAGCACTGTCACGTCGAGTCCCACGCAGCCCACGTGAAGTTGGTATGGTAGCAGCAGCCAGCGCTGCTCACATCGCTAGACCTAAGACGCTGTGAGCGCAGCACTGTTTATCCTCCTTTGGCATAAACAGGTTTGATGAGTGTGAGTCTATCAGAAAAGATTTTCGCCCACTGGGTAAATGTCTTTCTTCTAATTGTCTGCTAATTGGCAAACAGCTAATTCTACTTATTATCAAAATTCTTTCTCCAGAGAAAACTCAGCCAAGATTTTCATAAATCCTTTTCCCTCATCCTTTTTAATTTAAAAATTGTTCCAGTATCTTTTGGTAGCTATCATCTGAGGAGGTGTTCTGTTTGAGTTAATCAACTCCTGCAAGGTTATCTGTGATCTATTTGAAAGTGCCTTAGTCAGCATCTTGCCTTCTATCTTAATTACTAATTACTGGCCTAAAATTGTCACTTACCATAGGCACCCCAGTGAGTATTGACCTCTCAAATTAAGATTGCCCATGAAATTAAAAGTGGACGAAGCCTTTTGGGTCACTTCTTCTATCCTCCAAAGTGTATTTATTATTCATGGTGTGTGACAGGGAACCCAAGTGTAGGGTAAGATTGAGAACACCGCAGTTAACTCGTCTTTGAAATGTAAATAAAGTTAATGAGTATACCTGTCTTCCCCCAGGACCTGTCCTTGTCTGCTTTGTCATTATGACTTCTTTCTTTCTTCTCTTTGATGGGGCTACTAATTTCCTTTTTTTCCTTCTCACTGGAGACTGAAAACAACATTTTGAAGAAGTATTCCAAATGGTAAAAAGCACAGAAAATATTCCATCGATTCCTCAAAATATGTGCTTTACTAGCTTGCCTTTCAGATCTCATTGTGACCAGGACTGTGCTAAGTGTCACCTTCATAATTTGGCACAGCAAATCATTTCACATGAACATGGTGTTGCAAGTCTAAAAAAGAACGCCAGCTTGCTTGCAGTGAAAGCCCACATTGGCAACATGTAGTTATAGGGAAACTGTGCCGTTCACTGGCTGTCAGAGACTTCCAACTAAAAGCATCACATTTAATACAGCAAAAGTAAATTGCCCCATCCAAAAAAAAAGAAAACAATTTTGTGGAAACACTGGGTCACCCAAGAAGGGAGCAGGTCAGTAGGTCTCCATCTCTTGGTCTTCAGTTGACCCATACCCAAACGCTGCTCTTTATAACTGTATACAGAGGCTTGAAAAGAGGTTAAAAAAAACTCCAAGAAAGGTATTTTGACAGTAAGCCAGTCAAGAGTGGCTATACAGTCTTTATGGGAACATGAACAGAAAAGGCACCTTCCACAAAACCAGTTTGGCTAGTAAAATGCAAGCTTCCTACTGATAAAGTCCACCAGCCTTTTATTTCCACCAGCACTTTCCCTTCACCCCATCCTGGTTTCGGCTGGGATAGAGTTAATCTCTATCCTAGGGTGGTGAGAAAATTGTATTGTATATAGTTTGTTTTGCATGTTCATTATTATCATTACTATTAGTAGTATTAGTATTAGTATTTCCTTTTTCGCCTTATTAAACTGTCTTTGTCTCAACCCACAAGTTTCCCTTTTTGTCCATTTCTCC